AAACACGGGGGGGGGGGGGGGGGAACCACCGTGCCATCGGAGGGATAACAACTAACCCTATCAGACATCACTCTCTTTTTTCCGCCACTAATTTTAAGGTCCAAATCCAGATAAGACTGATTTAAATCGCCAAACTTTGCAGTTAGATTTGGGATAGTGTTAATCGTTTATTTTCCTGAAGAGTTATTGCCACAGCTGTGCTTCAGACGTCATCGAATACCCACGATTGATTTTCGTTTCAGTACTCACTCATCATGAGTTAATAATGAAGCGAAATCAGCCGTGGATATCCGACGATGTGCTTCAGATAACTTATTTGTATTAGACTTTGTGAAAGGAAGGATGACAGCTTCATGGTATAGACCTTGTAATTGTTTGAATGTGTTTTATATAATTTTCTGAATACATGTATATATCTTTGAACTAACCATATTTGGAATAGTTTTGACAAGTCTAAATATTTCAATTAGCAATTCTCTGCAGAATTATATATACCACTTAAAATTTATCCTTGGAACTGCTAAAACATTCAAAACATATATTGCTCTGAATTACAAATTGGAATCCAAACAAAGACCTTATGAGTCAGTGAACTGCAATGGTGACTCACTAAACTATCAATGAACTGGAAATAACATTGTTAATGAACTGCAAAAATAATCCAATGAACCTCAATACCAATATAAACGTAAAATGTAAATAAAACCAACACAATCTGTCAGAGTCCTGCAGGTTCGGAAGATTTACACATGAACTCATTTTTAATCGTTAACCTGTTGCAGTGAAATGTCTACTTGGATTGCGCACAAAGGACAAAAATATCCATATAGAACTCAACAGTGACGGATCAAGCCAGAAATTTTTCTTGGAACTGAAAAGAACAGCAAGTAGTAAGTTTCAAATCAAAATTTTCATTTATGTTCATAAATGGAAAACAAGTGTGGACCAAGTGATGTAATGTTTTCATCATCAAACACACACGTGCTTGCCAACTCTCCTATTTTGGAGGGGGACTCCCGTTTTTTATACCCTAGCTTTATCAAACAGTGAATTTGTTAAAATCTATTCCTATTTTCTAAGATCTGATTATTTCATCTGAAAGAACAACTCAGAAGATGTCATGCAGAAGTGTTATTTTTTCTCTACGGGGTACATACATTCATCTTATTCATGCTTTTAATTCCTAAAACGCCTAATCTCCCGCATGGAAATTTCAAAAAGTTGGCAAGTAGCTGAGAAGACTCTTATCATTGATACCAAGGAGACCTATTATTGAAGAAGCAACTCATTATTACGACAATTGTACTTCAATCAACCTTGTAAGTGCCCTGGGCACGAAGCAATTAGGACAGATTAGAACTATTGCAGAACCTTCTAAAATCCTTCAAAAATAGCCATAATAGACACTTTTTATACGTATACGCCCGTTGTATGACTGATGTCCGTCCGTCCGTCAGTCAACTTTTCCTTATCATCGCTCTCCTGCCTTCTTTCATGAATATATCTTTGAAGAAACTTGGTACACATGTTGCATACTAATAAAGCTCGAAAGAGTTTGCATTTCAGAAGTTTACGTACTTTTTTGGTGGAGATATGCCCCTTTTATTGCCAAATAAGGGCATTGTGTAGTAAATGCAAGAACCTTTTTATTTTTTTATCAACTCCTTTCAAATTTTGTACGGTTGCTAGAAGCAATGATGTTAAACATATATTCGGGGTTTTCTGTCAAGTTTCAACTTTCTGCGTTTTGGCGTATCACACTTGACATAGAGTACTTCATTTTTGCCGTGAAGTTTCCCTTGTTTACACAATAACTCAAACAATTGTTCTCCGATTTTTATTAAACTACTTGGTTTACTAAACACAGTGGATGAATTGCAAGGTCACTGTAGTCACCAACAAAACGGTGGCAGTAAACACATTTATATCATATGTCACTACCTGCTTCCAATATAGCAATATACCATTCTGAGGGTCTGACAGGCGTATCATGCTTCCGCTCGCGTTGATCTTGTTAAGGTTATTTGATGAATTATTGTAAAAGGAAGGGATGCTTGACCCAAAAAGAGATAGGGACACTTATTTTGCTGAATGCAGAATTTAAAATTGTGTATAAAATTGTTTTCATCTTGATTTATTCGTCCCTTATTGAGAAGGGAGATAACTCAAATTCAGTACCCTACTTATCTTTATCACCCAAATGTTAATTTGTATCTGCAGTTGAAAGTTGCATCCCAATATTTATATTTTACCCATACAAATAAAAAACAGCATCAGTATTTAAGCTCTAATTGTGAAAAAAGAGGAATGTATTGCAAGTTTTCTCTCCGACTTTCTTAATATTTTTATATTGAATGCCTATTGATTTATATATTGACTACACTGTATATATTACATGTAATGTTCATTAGAAAAGATTATATACTTCAGCAGAAAGGTGCTAACCTGCCCACCATCTGTTTGTCTCTCTGGTTCGTGCCACACTTTGCATGACGGTGGTACATTGGTCTATCAGTACGTTGTATTATTCCCCTTTGCAAAAGAACATGGTTACACAAATATAAGTGAAATGGATATTTGCCTCAAAATGTTTCACTGAACCAACAAAAACTTTGCCTCTCTGAATCGAAGTTAAGCCACATACATATATTGTCTTGGTATTTTGTAGGCTCTACCTACTAGGTAGATTTTACCTTCAAAAGTGAAACTTTTTCTGATCCAAAATCTCCCTACAATTGAATGTAATGTAAATCCTCAATATAACAGTAAATTCATATACATAATATGCTAAATGCCAGAGAAATCTCCCTACTATATTTTGGTGTCATCACATATTATGCAACCATGTTTTTTCGCTTTGCATAATCATTCATATCCAATGCACATGTATAATACGAAACTTGTTGACATATGATACAAAACTTGTTGACATGTAATAAAACACTTATTGACATATGATACGAAACTTGTTGACATATGCTACAAAACTTGTTGACATGTAATATGAAACTTGTTGACATATGATACAAAACTGTTTTACATATGCCACAAAACTTAATGACATATAATACAAATATGTTGATATATGCTACGAAACTTGTTGACATGTTAAACGAAATTTGTTGACATATAATACAAAACTTGTTGACATATGATACGAAACTTTTTGACATATGCTACAAAACGTATTGACATATAATACAAAACGTGTTGACATATGCTACGAAACTTGTTGACATGTAATACGAAACTTGTTTTCAGTGTATTCTGTGACGTCGTCTATGGGGCTACCTTCCTCCTTCAGCTGGCTAGAGAAATACCACACCCTTATAAAAGGATCTTCTCCACCCCCACCAGAAAAAGATAACCCCTTTGCTAATGACGTGTTTGACCCCTTAAGATACATGAATGTTGACCCGGCTCCCCCTGAAGCTGTGCCAGGTTGGTGGACACACATGGATCTGTCATGGCGTGGCTTTGTGTTTATTCTAGTACATGTAGTGCTGCATGCTTTGTAACACCTTTTCCCCAGTAACTCCTGTGATAGACCTCTAGTCTAATGTCTTTATTTCTTTGCTTGAATTCAAGGACTCAAGTCACTGTTATGTTACTAACCTCAGAAGCCATGATTTCTTGTGACAGAGAAAGAAAGAGGAAGAGAAAGAGAAAAATTACCATAATCATGGAATTAATCAGGAGAAATGTTTGACTTTTAGATAGAGGGCATCAGCTAACTGAGAAACCTTGTGAACATCAGGACATGTTTTATAGATAAAATATTAATTGCATATGTAAATGAATGTAGGTGTACATACATATGTAGGCTATTTACTAACAGTGAAACCTCTCCTATATGACCCCTGAACATTCCCACTTCCTCACTAGCAATAGGAGTACAGTTTTACCATCGCTTGATATAAAACTGACCTTGTCTATGTAAACCAAAAACCTGTACTGTTTTGATCCCAAGTCTAATAATATCTACAAAATAACCTGGCTTCGGTATCACAAACATTTTCTCAAATCTCAAGCTCAAATCTGAAGTTTGAACTCAGCTGAGATTTACCGCCAAATGGGTATCACAAAGCTGGTAAAACTTAAGTTTGGTTGGTTAAACTCAAGCTCAGCTTGAGGCGTTGAGCTGAGTTTTTAGTTTATGAAAACGAAATACGGACGCTGAGCTTGAGTCCTTGAGTTTGGACTCAAATCTCAGCTTAAGTACGTTTGTGATACCGAAGCCTGTTGATTCTAACATCCTGTCTTATATGACCAATATCTGCTGTTCAACAGGGTGTTGGATTTGACAGGTTAATTTGACAAATATATTGGGTCCAACAGAGTGTCAGATTGAAAAGGTTAATTGGACCAATATATTTTGTGTCCCATATATTTTGTCAGATAAGACAGGTTTATCTTATCAATATGCTGTGTTCCACAGGGTATCAGATAGACAGGTTTCACTGTTATTCGGTACTGCAAAACTTGATTGAACATTGTTTCTGTTAAAGTGCATGGTCCTTGTATCCTGATATAACATGTCATGTTAGATATGCGATGCCTTGGACGTGTTCTTTTCTGTAGCTTGATGTCACTTTCTCCTTAAGAATGACTTCTGATTTGATTTAGGTTTTGTGATGGCTTTTTTTTCGGGTCATTATCCCTCTAGCTATATGGTTTTAACACTGAGAGTGATCTCCCTTGAATTCTCACATTTACACCGACCCTCCTAATATTAACTAAACACTAATTATATTTATAGAAGAAACCTTGTTGATTGGAATATAGATTCGACAATATGAATTGCACATGTTCTATTTGTTTATGGAAATTTGTTGAGACACCTACCAGCATTTATATATATATAGTTTACACAGCTAGTTTACATATATACAAACTGTACTAAGCACTGGAACATATCCTTGTAGACTTTCTTAACTCATTCACCCCTGAAGACACATTTGAACTCTTCCAATTCAAAGGGTGGAATAGTTCATTATGAAATTTCAGGGGTAAATGGGTTAATATAGGTTACATGCTGGAGACATGTTCATTTTCTTTGAACCTGGTGAAATAGAGAGGAAAGTTCATTATATTTACCATAATACCACCCTTTCATTGATATTTATTAAATACCTAGTTAAGAATTTTCCCAAGTGTTCTAAGCAAAAAGTTCATAATTTTCTGAATACACTTTTGAGTGATAAAATTAAAATGAAATAAGCACACAGGATCTTTATCAGTTTTAATTCTTTTGTACAATTTTTAATTTTCATGATAATTAATTATCACAGATTTCGAAAAATGCATAACAAATTGTGAAGTCAAGTATGTTTATATTTTCATTCTTTATTTGTGAAATGGACAATTATAAATAATGGAATCAAAAAAGGAATGAATAAAGGGAAAAAAAATAAAAAATCACACAATTAGCGATTTGTGAAATTAAAAACTTGCAAATACATGTAACTTCTGGATGCAAATTCAGTTATACATTATTTTAAAGATTGTTTGACTGAGAAGGTTTTGGTACATGGAGTTGTTTTTATTTGTATCATGGTGTTGTTTGATTTGTATGATTGGTGTAGTTCTGATTGATGTGCTTATACCTTTGTCTGAAAAAAGGTTGTAAAAAATTACAATTCTTGTTGCTTGTGTGCCAACACATGTTCCATTTTTTCCAGTTAATATAGTTCCATTTTTTCCAATTTATGGTATGGTGTGTTGTCTTTCATCCGTTGTCCGTCAACTTTTTCTTTGAACGACTTCTTCTTAAAAACTGGTGGACCTAGGGCCATGATATTAGGCCAGTAGGTACCTGGGACAAAGTGCTATAAAGTTTCCTCAAATAAATGACCTTGACCTACTTTCAAGGTCACAGGGGTTAAGTACGTGTATGTAAAAACCTGGGATACACCTTGAACACGTCATATGTACTCATTTGAAAATCTTGTGAACTATGTAACTTCAGAGCTTCAATAAATCATTGATAACATTCTGTTTGTTTACAATAAACTTCTTAAATTTGTACATGTAATAAATAAAAATATTTTGACATCATAATTGGTACATGTTGTACTAAAGAAAGGTGCATTATAAAGCCATACTTTGGGGTTTTATTTCCTGTTTGAATACAGTAACTGTAAGTACTGAAGCTTAAAGTAATATATATATATATCTGATGGGTATTTCACTCCTTTCTTTTTAATTTGCTGCATTTTATTCCTTTTTTTATTTTGCATGTCTAATCAATTGATATACTCAGAAATTAACAGTTGACAGTATTGATATAAACAGGCATTGACAGTATTGCTAAAAACAGGAATTGACAGTATTGATACAAACAGGAATTGACAGTATTGATATAAACAGGAATTGACATTATATTTATTGATATAAACAGGAATTGACATTATATTTATTGATATAAATAGGAATTGACAGTATTGCTAAAAACAGGAATTGACAGTATTGCTAAAAACAGGAATTGACAGTATTGATATAAACAGGAATTGACAATATTGATATAAACAGGAATTAACATTATTGATATAAACAGGAAATGACATTATTGATATTACCAGGAATTAATATTATTGATATAAACAGGAATTGACATTATATTTATTGATATAAACAGGAATTGACAGTATTGATATAAACAGGAATAGACATTATTGATATTAACAGGAATTGACATTATTGATATAAACAGGAATTGACATTATTGATATAAAAAGGATTGTCAGTACATTTATTGGTATAAACAGGAATTAACAATATTGATATCAACTGTAATCAAATATTCATTGTAACAGGAATTGACAATATTGATATTAAGTGGAATCAGCATCATTGATATAAACAGGATTGGCAGTATATTACTAATCACATACATGTACTTTAATGAAATACTTTTTTGCATGTTTAATGTTACCATATCTAATATACCAGCAGAGATTATCAGATAAAATATAATGACAATTTTTCTCAATGAATCTCTTTATACAACATCTGTCTGAAACATTGCTTTCCAGAGAATGAATGTCATCATGTTTTGTCTAAAAATTTCAATAATTGTTCTTTTTCTTTGATTTCTTCTTTATTTTGTAGAATTAATCCAAATTTTATTAACCATTTCTACATGTTAATTGTCTGAATGTTTTCTTTAGAGAAGATAGCATATCATGAATATTACTGCCATTAATAGTATTAAAATGGTAATTTTATATTGGATTTGAAGAATTTGAAGAAAACAGAATTTGAAAAAATATATTGTTTATGTGTCAGGAACCAAAAACACAGAATTATAACACATTTTAGTCTGAAAGTAATTCCTAGTCTATGTATGCTCCAGAATTATAACACATTTTAGTCTGAAAGTAATTCCTAGTCTATGTATGCTCCAGAATTATAACACATTTTAGTCTGAAAGTAATTCCTAGTCTATGTATGCTCCAGAATTATAACACATTTTAGTCTGAAAGTAATTCCTAGTCTATGTATGCTCCAGAATTATAACACATTTTAGTCTGAAAGTAATTCCTAGTCTATGTATGCTCCAGAATTATAACACATTTTAGTCTGAAAGTAATTCCTAGTCTATGTATGCTCCAGAATTATAACACATTTTAGTCTGAAAGTAATTCCTAGTCTATGTATGCTCCAGAATTATAACACATTTTAGTCTGAAAGTAATTCCTAGTCTATGTATGCTCCAGAATTATAACACATTTTAGTCTGAAAGTAATTCCTAGTCTATGTATGCTCCAGAATTATAACACATTTTAGTCTGAAAGTAATTCCTAGTCTATGTATGCTCCAGAATTATAACACATTTTAGTCTGAAAGTAATTCCTAGTCTATGTATGCTCCAGAATTAACCTACCTTAACTCCAGATGAAGATTATTTCATTTTGTAACTTTCTAGTGGTGTCAATTTTAATTTAACAAAATTATTAATCAATTCATTTTGATATTCGTTACTTTTAATTTTGATAAAATTTGAATCAGTAATTCCTCATGGTAATCTTGTGGTGTAAATTGAAATCTAATCATAAAAACTTAAAAACCGAACTAAATATAGACTTGAAGAGTTGTGGCAGCCCTAGTACTACTGACTTCTATGTAATTGCTAAAGAGGCAAATGAATCGGAGATGGAGATTAGACTGGAGCCAAACAAAGGGAGACCTGCCTTTTATTGTTAACCCTTTCACCCCTAGGTAACTTTAGTAGACTCTACCATACATTGGTCTGGATGAGTCTATTATGGTCTACAGTGGTGAAAGGGTTAACCCCCCCTTTCACCCCTATGTAACTTTAGTAAACTCTTCCATGCATTGATCTGGATGAGTCCATTATGGTCTGCAGTGGTGAAAGGGTTAATTATCCAATCTTCTCTTTCCTTTTTATCATCATTCTGTAAAGCAATTCGTTGATTTATTTATTTCAGCAAAGAAAATTGAGGCACCCTCGTTTAATGCAGACAGAGATTCTGGTAGTTCAGAGGAGGCGACCACTTCAGGGGAGACAACTCCATATAGTTTTGAGAACAATTTTACAGATTCCATTCTTGTGGATGACATGCCAACAAATTTAAGGAAAACACTCAGCAAGGATTCTCTCGACAACTTAGATGAGTAAGTTAACTGAAGACAGTATACATTTCTTAATCTAGTCTAAATGATTACCCAGAAATTCATTTTCGGGAAACTAAATTGTATTTGGAAAAAGCAAAGAATTAGTTAAATTTTTATCAATATGGTAAAAAAAAGATATGTTTCTTGTTGAAATTATTTCGTTTTACCAGGTAGTTTGGATCTATTATAAAAGAGTAAGCTATTGACTTTGCTTATGAAGAATTTACATAGCAGATTGTTATTAACTTCAGCATTGTTATAATTTTGTTGGCCTGATGAAGGTCCCCCACCCCAATCCTGACGAAATTAGTCAGCATGTAGATAACATGTATAAAAAAAAGGCAAAATAAAGCATCACTTCCTAACATATTAGCACTTCCTGGCTTGTAATTAGTATATATAATTTAAAATCCACAGCTTAGATTCAATTTCCTGTTATTTCTAATCTGTCTCGCCAGTGTTAATTAAACCCTTTAACAACAGGAAATGCTAATCTGGTACAAAGTTGTTGTGTTTTGTTGTAGATCCGACATGACCGACTCCCTGTCGAGGATCACCAACCAGCTGGGCATTGGCGGGTCGGGGGTGGAGTTCGTGGAGGGGATCAAACCAGCCACTGGTCGAGAGAATATCGTACGACATCTGATGAATCAACGGGAGGATGAATTCACTCACAAGGAAACTTTAAAGTAATTCAATATGCATTATTGTATCATGAAACGCTCAATTTTCAAACTAAGTACTCAAATACAAGATATCCCCAAGTTATCACACAAAACATTCACACACAAGGAAATCCTGTTATGCCTCATCTGGCACTTCCAGGAAATTTTTGTCATTTTACACTTTGAAATTGCCTGGCCACCAGTTTCACAAAACGTCCTGTACTTCCTGGCTTTTTCACTCTGGAGTAAACATTGCTTAGATAAATGAAATTTTGGTGACTTATATATATAGTTAAGATTTTCTCAATGCTAGGCTGGGGTCCTCAGTAAACTTCAACGAATTTGTTAGGAAATTTTCTGAAATCTTCTTGTATGTTAGAAATCAAGGATATTAAATTTGGCATTTAACACTTTAAAGGTGCCTGCATGGCCACCAGTTTCACTAAACATCCTGATAAAATTAAACACATATTTCATGACTTAAATTTCACACTAGCGAGAACATTGCTTAGATTTAGAAAAAGTGCTGACTTATGTAAGAAATGTTTGTGATGCTAATTGTACTGGTACCTCGTTCCTAAGTACAGCCCACATTGCTAGGTCATAGTCCTCAGATCACTGCAAAGGATTTGGGGTTGGTATTTTACACTTTAAAAGTGCCTGCATGGCAACCAGTTTCGCAAAACATCCTGGCAAACATGAATTTCTGGACTTGAATTTAACTTTCCTGGTACATTTGACTTCTGAACAAGGTCTTTGGGAAGAAAAATTAGGCAGTTATCTGATGTTCAGGTCAGATTTTCTCTTACTTTGTCTTTTTATAAAGAACTAAAAATGTGCTGTCAAAAAAAAAAGTGTTTGTCTTGACATTGCATTACCTGTTTGATTCTTTTCAGAGTGTTCTGTGGGACGTGGAACGTGAACGGCCAGTCACCTCTCCCGGGTTCATCACTGAGGAAGTGGCTAGATGTCGACCATGAATGTCCAGACATATTTGCTATAGGGTACTAGTAATTCTTTTTTTTTTTTGGTTTTAGTTCAGTATATTGCTTCTCTTCTAAAAGAATTGATTTTGTATGATATTAGTGAAAACAATTAATTTCATTTATGCAAGATGAAATTAAGACATACTCATATGATTGCACTTTAAAATCTGGTACATGTTAAAGACACAATATGCCGAAAACGAATAACTGTTCACCGAATACCTGTTTTATCCGTCAAGGACTTGTTGGTGAATGTCTCGCCACCAGGAAGTAGCGGAAGCGAAGACTTAGGTGTTGTTTTCCGGCGACGGCAGCGTCAACATTCAATTTTTGCGTTAAAGTTTCTTTCACTGAAATAATAATTAGTGCTAGACCAACTAAACTTGGACCATAGATGCATCTTAGGTAGTTCATCTCAACCCATGCATCAAATGCTGGATGCGGCCTACCTTTCATGGTCCATTGACTTTGTCAGCATCTCCATCAACATTAAGTTTTTGCGTTTAGGTTGGTTTCTCTGAAACTATTGGTGCTAGACCAACCAGACTTGACCTGTGCATTGACGGTCAAAGCGGGACACAGGCGAGTCGTATCAATCTGAAAGGTTTGTATTTACAGTTGTATATCTACCAACCTTGACCTGTGCATTGACGTTCAAAGCGGAAAACAGGCGAGTCGTATCAAGCTGAATGGTTTGTATATACAGCTCTATATCTACCAGACTTGACCTGTGCAGTGACGGTCAAAGCGGGACACAGACGAGTCGTATCAATCTCAATGGCTTGTTATCATTATAAATTAATTTTATGTCGCTCTTTTTATTTCAAGCTTATTAACTTGTAGCTTCATAGCTATATAGATATTTTTGCAATCTGAATGGTTTGTATTTACAGCTCTATATCTACCAGACTTGACCTGTGCATTGACGGACAAAGCGGGACACAGGCGAGGCGTATCAATCTGAATGGTTTGTTTTTACAGATGTATCTACCAAACTTGACCTGAGCATTGACGGTCAAAGCGGAACACAGGCGAGTTGGATCAATCTGAATGGTTTGTATATACAGCTCTATATCTACCAGACTTGACCTGTGCATTGACGGTCAAAGCCGGACACAGGCGAGTCGTATCGATCTGAATGGTTTGTATTTACAGATGTATCTACCAAACTTGACCTATGCATTGACGGTCAAAGCGGAACACAGGCGAGTTGTATCAATCTGAATGGTTTGTTTTTACAGTTGTATATCTACCAGACTTGACCTGTGCATTGACGTTCAAAGCGGAAAACAGGCGAGTCGTATCAAGCTGAATGGTTTGTATATACAGCTCTATATCTACAAAACTTGACCTGTGCATTGACGGTCAAAGCCGGACACAGGCGAGTCGTATCGATCTGAATGGTTTGTATTTACAGATGTATATGTACCAAACTTGACCTGTGCATTGCCGGTCAAAGCGGGACACAGGCGAGTCGTATCAATCTGAATGGCTTGTTATCATTATAAATTAATTTCATGTCGCTCTTATTATTTCAAGCTTATTAACTTGTAGCTTCATAGCTATATAGATATTTTTGGTTCCGCAGATTTCAAGAACTGGATCTGAGTAACCAAGCATACATATTCAGTGATTCGGCTAAAGAAAAAGAATGGTTAACTGCCGTACGAAAAAGTTTACCTTCCAAAAGCCTATACAAAAAGGTAAGTTTATTTAGCATGACCCCCTGGTTTACCGTATTCTGTCTTCGTATTTAAGGATTTATAAGTACAAATTCATGTGGGACTATTAATTGATTTAAGGTGGAAATCGAGTCCAAGGGCTCTGTGTTGCATCTTCATTGAAAATTTCCAATTTGTTTGCCATTATTTTACACTTAAATTTCTTGGAATGCACAACTACTATATTTCATTTCAACAAATTTTATTGTCAGATGTAATAGTCAAATGGATTAAGCCTATACAAATTCTTTCCATGAGTGGCTCAAAATTTGATCAAATATATAATTATATACCTATAGCAGCAAGTCAAATCCAAATATAATTAATATATATATATATATTAATACAATTCTTTATTCACAAACATTTTGGGGCCACAGAAATTGGATCCCAAGAAACTTGATTATCATTAAAACATGGGAGCTCGTCCACTTTGCTACCAAACGTGATATTTATCATGAAAATAGTCTTTTACAACTTTACTGGGAATATTTTCATAATATTTTAATTCCATGAAAAGGTATGTAACCTTTAATTGTCTTTGTGTAAATAAGGTGCAAATGCATAAATATTACAGGTCCTGTATGTAGTCATCCTCGATACTCCTGGGGTTACGCTCACTTTTGATCTCGGCACCCCAGCTGGAATATATCATAGCAAAATTGAAGGCACACGGCTTGCTATTTGATTGGTCTCAGGTAAAAAAATCTTGACCAATCGCAAGGCTGATATCTGTCCATTGAAGTTAAGAGCCACGTCACCCGACTAAAAAACTGGTCAATTTTACAGTTACCCCCGACTTAGGGCATTAAATTTCTCAAAAAAAAGGGCGCAAATTACACGAGTTTTTACGGTACACGACTGATAGATTCTTTTGATGTACATGTACATCAATGGTTCAAACTGGTCTTCTTGTCTCATCCACAAGGTGTTGCACACTGAGCCTTCGATTTTGCTAGGACATATTCCAGGGGTGCACAGAACGTAAGTTAGCCTAACCCCTGGAGTATCGAGGATGGTATGTAGTAGAAAGTGTTGGAACTCTCTACCTTAACAGAGTATGGACATTTCTGTCTACCAAGACATGATGTTTACTGCTGAGTATTCTTAAGTGTAGTGTGTTGATGTACTCTGTTCTTTCAGGTGAAGTTGATTCGCTTGGTCGGTGTCATGATGATTGTGTACATCAAAGAGAAATACGCCCACAAAGTTCATTTTGTAGACTCGGACTACGTCGCCACTGGGATAATGGGGATCATGGTCGGTATATAATACTCCACTGATAACATCAACGTTTTATTCCCATCCTACATAATGTCTACTCTCCAAAAAAAATAAACTGTTTTGTCAGAGAGATACTGTATGACGGGAATTTTTTCGCGGCAGTTTAGTTTTTGTCTTTTTCGCGCTCTGTAATGAAGGCAAATTCATCATTACAGCAATCATTTGTAAACAATATAATACACAAAGTAATGAAACGCTAAGGGCAAATTTTATATCGAGCGAAAATGGATCTTACTGTCGAAGTGCAAAAATTTGACTTGGCGAAAATTTCCCGATATACATATAGAGTACCATTGACATGGATGGGTACAATCCCTTCTGATATTGCTATTTCTCGCACCTCAGACAGAGATATCCCACATCATACCCCATGCTAGATTTTTCTATCTCATCCAATCTGTCTTGTACCTTTACGTGACATTTCGTGGAATTTTTACACTACAATGTATTCATCCGCACGTTAACTGCTTGAAATTGACAATTTGCATTATAAATGTCCTGTTTTGTCATTATATTTGATGTTATAGATAAAATATAATCTACACTGTGAAATACGTTGTAATCTATGTAAGGACGGACTATATTTTTACGCGGAAGTATTCAAATGCAGCTTTAGTAGTGAAGAGGTCATTATCATTTGAGGCCCAAGGCTGGTTACTTTTTGGAAAAAAAATGTTTTACCTGTAACTGAGCGAGGTTGGGTTATCTCAGTCTTGGGCTAAGATTATGTAACATCCCAACCTCGGCTTACGCCTCAGTTGGGATTTGTTACAGAATCTTAACCCTCAACTGAGATAACCCGATCTTGCTCAGTTACAGGTAAAAGATTTGATTAATCCCAGTCCCCTTCATTAAAATTTTGTCTGTAAAACGTTCAACTTCATTTCCACAGATAATGGCTGCAGGTATTCCATCTCTGCTGGTGGCGTTAGTTGTTTGATCCTATCCTCTTATAAACATTCTGATTTTGTCACCATAGAAAATAATAGGGACGCGTCTTTGCTGACGGCAACGATCGCTTGATCCCAACCTCAAGCTCTTATGCAGACTCTGACTCAGCTGCAATAGAAAAGAACAATATGTACACTTTCTAAGCTTTTGGTATAAAAATATATCACTCAATACTTCTCATTTAAACTGAAAATAATGATATATCTACTGATTGTGGAAATAAGTCCTATTTTAATGCTAGCTTTATAAACAAAAATCCGTAACTTTCAAGAGTTTAAATTGACCAGGTTCCATGATGACTGTATCGTAACTGTTTTTGTGGCCGTGTGTTACAGGGAAACAAAGGCGGAGTCGGGGTGAGGTTCACAATACAAGGCACTTCCATCTGTTTCATTAATTCACATTTAGCAGCACACCAGGATGAGTTTGAGAGGAGAAACCAGGTAAAGAGCTTAACGTAAACGGACTGTATAGGTTTAAATACTGTTTAACATGTTGACTTAGAAATGAGGGGTTGTCTCTCAAGAAAGGTACATCTCAACTGACGTAAGGGATGGTATAAAGTCATTTTTTGTTTTACTGATTTCATGGCAATCTCACAAGGCAGGTTCTACTATAATTACATAAGGGGAGGTCTCACAAAACAGGTTTCTTTGTTACTGACAGAAGGGGTGGTCTCACAAAGCAGATTCTGCTGTACTGACAGAAGGGGAGGTCTCACAAAGCATGTTCTGTGTTACTGACAGAAGGGGAGGTCTCACAAGGCAGGTTCTATGTTACTGACAGAAGGGGAGGTCTCACAAGGCAGGTTCTATTATACTGACAGAAGGGGGGGTTTCACAAAACAGGTTTCTTTGTTACTGACAGAAGGGGTGGTCTCACATGGCAGGTTCTACTATACTAACAGAAGGGAAGATCTCACAAAGCAGATTATGTGTTACTGACAGAAGGGGAGGTCTTACAAGGCAGGTTCTACTATACTAACAGAAGGGGAAGTCTCACAAGGCAGGTTCTACTATACTGACAGAAGGGGAGGTCTCACAAGGCAGGTTCTATGTTACTGACAGAAGGGAATGTCTCACAAGGTAGGTTTTACTGATGGAAGGGGAGGTCTTACAAGGCAGGTTCTACTATACTGACAGAAAGGGTGGTCTCACAAGGTAGGTTCTATTTTACTGATGGAAGGGAATGTCTCAAAAGGCAGGTTCTATGTTACTGACAGAAGGGAATGTCTCACAAGGTAGGTTTTACTGATGGAAGGGGAGGTCTTACAAGGCAGGTTCTACTATACTGACCAAAGGGGAGGTCTCACAAAGCAGGTTCTATGTTACTGACAGAAGGGGAGATCTCACAAGGCTGGCTCTATGTTACTGACANGGGAGGTCTCACAAGGCAGGTTCTACTATACTGACAGAAGGGGAGGTCTTACAAGGCAGGTTTTATGTTACTGACAGAAGGGAATGTCTCACAAGGCAGGTTCTATGTTACTGACAGAAGGGGATGTTTCAAGACATGCTTCAGCTGTACTGACATATGGGTTGGTGTCATAAGGCAGGTTTTACTGATAGAAGGGGAAGTCTAACAAGGCAGGTTCTACTGTACTGACAGACGGGGAGGTCTCACAAGGCAGGTTCTACTATACTGACAGAAGGGAATGTCTCACAAGGTAGGTTTTACTGATGGAAGAGGAGGTCTTACAAGGCAGGTTCTACTATACTGACCAAAGGGGAGGTCTCACAAAGCAGGTTCTGTGTTACTGACAGAAGGGAATGTCTCACAAGGTAGGTTTTACTGATGGAAGGGGAGGTCTAACAAGGCAGGTTCTACTATACTGACAGACGGGGAGGTCTCACTAGGCAGGTTCTACTGTACTGACAGACGGGGAGGTCTCACAAGGCAGGGTCTACTGTACTGATAGAAGGGGAAGTCTAACAAGGCAGGTTCTATGTTACTGACAGAAGGGAATGTCTCACAAGGCAGGTTCTACTATACTGACAGAAGGTGTGATCACACAAGGTAGGTTTTACTGATAGAAGGGTAGGTCTCATAAGACACGTTCTATTTAATGACAGAAGGGGATGTCTCAAGACATGCTTTTGCTGTACTGACAGAAGGGTGGTCTCACAAGGTAGGTTCTACTATACTGACAGAGGGGGAGGTCTCGCAGGGCAGGTTCTACTGTACTGATAGAAGGTGAGGTCTAACAAGGCAGGTTCTACTATACTGACAGACGGGGAGGTCTCACTAGGCAGGTTCTACTGTACTGACAGACGGGGAGGTCTCACAAGGAAGGTTCTACTGTACTGATAGAAGGGGAAGTCTAACAAGGCAGGTTCTATGTTACTGACAGAAGGGGAGATCTCACAAGGCTCGCTCTATGTTACTGACAAAATGGAATGTCTCAAAAGGCAGGTTCTACTATACTGACAGAAAGGGGGGTCTCACAAGGCAGGTTCTATTTTACTGACGGAAGGGAATGTCTCAAAAGGCAGGTTCTATGTTACTGACAGAAGGGGAGATCTCACAAGGCTGGCTCTATGTTACTGACAAAATGGAATGTCTCAAAAGGCAGGTTCTACTATACTGACAGAAGGGGAGGGCTCACAAGGCAGGTTCTACTGTACTGATAGAAGGGGAGGTCTAACAAGGCAGGGTCTACTATACTGACAGAAGGGGAGGTCTTACAGGGCAGGTTCTATGTTACTGACAGAAGGGGATGTTTCAAGACATGCTTCAGCTGTACTGACATATGGGTTGGTCTCATAAGGCAGGTTTTACTGATAGAAGGGGAAGTCTAACAAGGCAGGTTCTATGTTACTGACAGAAGGAAATGTCTCACAAGGTAGGTTTTACTGATGGAAGGGGAGGGCTAACAAGGCAGGTTCTACTATACTGACAGTAGGGGAGGTCTCACAAGGCAGGGTCTACTATACTGACAGAAGGGGAGGTCTCACAAGGCAGGTTCTACTATACTGACAGAGGGGGAGGTCTCACAAGGCAGGTTCTACTGTACTGATAGAAGGGGAGGTCTAACAAGGCAGGTTCTACTATACTGACAGAAGGGGAGGTCTCACAAGGCAGGTTCTACTATACTGACAGAAAGTGTGATCGCACAAGGTAGGTTTTACTGATAGAAGGGTAGGTCTCAAAGACACGTTCTATTTAATGACAGAAGGGGATGTCTCAAGACATGCTTTTGCTGTACTGACTGAAGGGGTGGTCTCACAAGACATTTAACTTTACCGACATAAAAATTGACGCCTAATTTATTGTACTGTTATCAAAGTAAGGTTATCAAATTAATATATTACTAATGCAGTGTCTTGGACAGTGACACTACTATACTTTTCACCTGTTGTATTATATAGGACTACAGAGATATCAACTCCAAGATGAGGTTTAAACAGTTTGTGCCTCCCCTACAGACACGGGAACATGAGTAAGTACAATCCGGCTGTACCAGATCAGTGGTTGAAGTTACTAACACTTTACACACAGATAACAAGAAATATCACCAAATATTAGATGACGCACATTTTTCCTACTTCCTCATTGGTTGGCTCATAATCATGTGGAGGTCGGTGATTTGTGATATTGACTTGGTGTTACTATTTTTAGAAATACAAGGTTAATATTTACTTTCGGACATCATACCAATTGTAATGTCACAATGCTCTCTGCCAAATACAGGATTTCTTTCCTGACAATTTTCATAAGTTCCTTATTTTTTTTTAACAAATTAATCGTTATCTTGCATCTAATACATGTTTAACTATTAAGAACTATTATTTTGGTGAACAAGTAGTTATTTGAACATGAAAAAGAGATATTAATGAACAACGTCTCAGTCAATATCACTTTCTCAGGTCCATATAATCACATAGTCACCTCGACAAAAGTCCATAATTGACAAATATCCATGAAAAAGTGAAATGGTTCTGTAAATGACAGGATACCCAAGCATTTATCCTCATGCAAAATAAAAATGTGTCAAATAAGTTGAATATTTTTTATTTTTATAACATCACCACACCCCAACAGTGTTATGAGAAACATACTACCATAAACTAGGCTTTATGGATGTCGGTCTGTCTAAGGGTACATTCGCGTATCCCGTTGAAATGGTACGTGTGGCGCAGAAATATTCCACGATAAACGAAAGCACTTGGACCGTTCTATAAGCAGAGCTTAAAATGCACAGTTTTGGATAATAAATAACAATGAATCAAGAATATTATGCCCTTCTTTGACACGTCAATTGAATTACATAACGCATCTGAAAAACTACATGTGGCTTGACATTGTTTTAGAAAGAAATAACGCAAACTAGCAATAGTCAGCATTTTAGTTTTGGTCAGGTACGTCTGGACCCCTCAATCTACATTTGCCAAATTTTCCTAAGGTCAGCCTCGGTTCCGATCGGTGCCTGTCGTTTTCTTTTCAGGTTCAACCGGTTTAAACATTTCAACCGGATACGCGAATGTAGCCTAACAGTCTGCAGAAATTATTTTATTGATACTTAAGCTATATATCTTACCTTACACACAAACCATTGTAACATGTGGCTGCCATATTGTTTCTGCTGCTATTAATTAGTGACATCTGGCGTCCGATGAGGTAGCATCATCCCATTCATGTATTTTAATATTTAACTTTTGTAGTGTCCTATTTTGGATTGGAGATTTAAACTACAGAATAAATGATCTGGAAATTAATAAAGTGAAGGCCCTTATAGAAAAGCAACAGTTCCGGGATCTTCGTTCCTACGACCAGGTAAGAAAAATACAAATATCTAGAGGATACAACCCTCAGGTTTTTTGCTCACCTGTCCGAAGGGAAAAGTATTTCTCTTACCCTGGACAGGGATATTCACCATTTTACCGGTGTGGGACTTTCTTATCTCATCCTAGTGTTGAGACGAGCTACACGTGTTCTTTGCACGTTCTCAACAATTGTATGACGTCATAGCAACAATACCATGACGTCACGGCAACAATACAATGACGTCACGTCGACAATTCATCCGCATCACATGCTCAACATTGTCTTGCATTGCTGTAACGTCTATATAAAATACATAAGAGGGTAAACAGGGTAAGAGAAAAATAATCATTCACCCCCTTGAGAGTGAGACAGGGTGATCTCAACCCTCGGGGTAAGATTCTGAAGCTGTCAAACACTCGACAAGCCTCGTGTTTGACAACTTAAAATTTTTACCACTCGGGTTGAGATCACCCTGTGGCAACCCCAAGGGTGTGAAAGATTCTATTAATCCACACTTTTAGCGGTGTAAGATATCCTTGTCTCACCCTAGGGTTCCCCTATTTATAACAATGTTATGACGTCGCGTCAACAATATGATGACGTCACGTCAACAATCTATCAACGACACGTCAAACCTAAATTCAGCCAGTGACGTTTCATTACATTATATATATGCTACATAATGGCTGAACAGGGTAAAAGAAAAAGAATCATTCACCTCCTTGAAGGTGAGATAGAGGAATCTCAACTCTCGGGGAAAGATTCTTAAGTTGCCAAACACTGGGTAAAGCCTTGTGTTTGGCAAATTAATAATCTTCCCTCAGGTTGAGATTTTCCTTTCGCACCCCCAAGCGGATGAGAAATTCTATTAATCTCAAGCACACACATATATGGGCAATACATGTACAGAAAATCATATACCGCAGACAGTGAGAAAAATTGACGTTCTGTGTTACAGCTTCACCGACAGCTAGGGAGGACAGATGTCTTTGAGGGTTACCAAGAAGGGGATTTAGATTTCCAGCCAACTTATAAGTATGACACTGGCACAGACAACTGGGACACAAGGTATGCAAATGATAGATATTCAAAAGTAAAAAGATTCTCTGTTACCATTTAAAACTTATCAGAAATGGGTATAAGTTATTCAATTGAAGATTCTAAAAACCTGGTTTGTTGAGATCAGGTGATATAATGATGACTAGAGCTCCCTGGAGTGAATGTAGTTTGATTAAATTTTTAATAAAAAATTACTTCCCTATTTAACCTAACAAGTGTCCCATATAACCTACCCACTTGTCCCTTTTTTAATCCCTGCATCCAGTCCCTCCACCATAATTTGCTTACATTTATGTATCTGTCTTATTTTCTCACAGCAATTACATTGTACTGAAATCAGGAATTTTTGGTTTGATCCGAGTTATGACTATTGTATATGGGGAAATTTTCGCTGCAGTTTAATTTTTCGCCATTTTCGGCCTTCCTGAATAAGGGGCGAATTTATCATTACAGCGAACATTTGTAAACAGCATAATAGACATAGTAATTAAATGTGAAGGGAGAAATAAAAACTGGGCTAATATGGATTTCATTGGCGAAGGGAGAAAGTTTGATTGGGCAAAAACATTTGAAGTCATAACCTAACGTTATGTAATGTAAGATCATTTCTTCAGCGGTAGTTTCATGTTTCATGATTTTGCCCAGTGAGAAGTCCCGAGCCCCGGCCTGGTGTGACAGGGTGCTCTACAAGGGTCCTGACATCAGACTGAAGGCATATCGCAGTCATCAGTCCTTGAAAGTCAGTGATCACAAGCCAGTCTCCGCTCTCTTTGATGTCGATGTGAGTATACTGTGAACATACCTAGGCTACATTCGCGTATCCCGGGTTAAACGGTACGTGTGGCACAGAAATATTCCACGATAAACGAACGCCCTCGGACTGTTCTATAAGCAGAGCTTAAAATGCACAGTTTCAGAGAATAAAAAAACAATGTATCAAGAATATTATGCCCTTCTTTCATGCGTCCACTGAATTACATTAGGTATCTTAAAAACTACATGTGGCTTGACATTGTTTAAGAAAGAAATAACGCAAACTAGCAATAGTCAGCATTTAAGTTTCGGTCAGGTACGTCTGGACCCCTCAATCTACACGTGCCAAATTTCCCGAGCTCAGCCTCGGTCCAGATCTGTGCCTGTCGTTTTCTTTACAGGTTCGACCGTTTCAACCAGATATGCAAATGTACCCTAATACTAGAGTGAACATATTTTGGTGTACCCTTTATAAGTTTATGGACCTTGTATGGTATCCCACTACATGATCCTATGAGGCGACTTATATTGTGCACTCTACATAATTTAATGTTTTCTTCAATATCCAAACCATTTCCTGCAGGCCTGGGCAAAAAATAGGCTTCCTGTATCCCACTGCATTTTAATATAAGATGCCAGTGATTTTTTTACCCCATTTTTCGTGCCGACTTTAGGTACTTTCCCCAAGTGAAATTTTCCCAATTCTGACGTTTAATGGTGTGTCCCTAGGTGTCCACCTTCAAATGACCATGCTAGGGTGTTACAATTTTAAGTCCAGAAAAAAACAAAACAAAACCGTAACTTGACAACCCAATTAATTTCTTCTCAACAGAATTGCATGCATTGCATTAATTCTAAGATTAAGAAGAAATAAACCTTTGTTATAAAAAAAAAAATCTTTTGCAGATTAAAATCATTGATGAGGAGAAATCAAAGCGGGTGTACGAAGATATCATGAAGCAGTTAGATCGACTAGAAAATGAATTCCTTCCCCAAGTGAAATTGAGCAAAACTGATGTAAGTTATTTTGTGAACTAGTGTCACCACATTCTCCCCATAGGATTGGGGCTTAATTAATATCATAGAGCGAGAAGGATGGGCAGGTAAATATAGGCATTTTTGCAGGAATTGTAAGAGTGGAAATTTTCGGGTGTTATATTGATGTTTGTCAATAATGTGTATAATATATTGGTGCAAAATTAAACAGCATGTGTAAACAGATTGACACACTTTGTGATAGATAGAATGGTTGTATAGTTGAAATAAAGAATCCCTTCTGAGATTGATTTTTTTTTTCGAAAGAGCAACCATTCTTAGATGTTTATGTACCAATATTGTGAAAAATTGACCTGTGGTCTGGGTTATCGAACCTCAAAAACAAATAATGAAAACTATTCAGGTCTTGGATGAGATACAGGTAAGATCCGTAAAATACAGTTTTTCGGTTGTAAATACATTTTAGAAATGTCACTTGTACCTGGTGTGGATGAAATTAATCACTTATGTGCCTTTTAAAGGGATTAAATAAATCCACTATTGTGTTTAATATGGATTTTTTTCCTGCTTTTCATATAAAAACATGAAGACTAGCCTCAATGCACAGTGTGTCAAAACCATTTACAGTAAAACGCTTGTTATTTGATTGCGTTGACCTTCAGTCAACTCGAGAACATTTTTATAACAATGGTACATGTTTAAATCTGTTTTGGAAAAAAACTATCTCTACATTCTTAAACTATCTGAAAGCTGTTGGTCTTTTTAATAAAATATGAATCACCATAGCCACTTTCAATTTTGAAATTGACGTTTTTCTTTTATCTTCTCGTTTGTTTGATGTTTTTATTTTGTATTTATTTTTTGTTGACCATTTGTTGGTCCCAATGACCTCTCCTGTGTTGATTGGCCTTTAAGCATGTTATAATAATAATAATTCTACTTTTCAGTTTGTTTTCCAAGATTTGAAGTTTATGGAGACTGAAATACAGAGTTTGATAGTCGAGAACACTGGACAGGTAAGATAGGGTTTTCACATCAAAGTTCTTCCTGTAATTTCATTGTGAGGTAGAGTTGAGTGCTGTCTGTGGAGATTTTAAGCCTAGAAGTGGTTTAGGTTGTCAGTTTCCGTGAAGTTTTAGTGTGACAGCCATTTATCGCCCGAGTTCTGCAATAAAATAGCAGTTATCACTGTGACAGAATTGATTTGTTTCTTGCCGTAGGTACCGGTGACGTTTGAATTCATTAAGAAACTTGACGAAACAAGTCACTGTCGATCGTGGATGGAAGTCACGCCCACACAATCCGTAGTTGTCCCAGGTAAATTTTATCGATCATTAAACACATTCAATTCCTCGTATTTTACAGGAAAGTTGATAGTTCTATGTAATGAACACTATTTACAGACACATTTAAACAATAGATAATGTTAATCTGTTACTGGTCAAATTTGTGAATAAAAATCATCCCAAAGAAGTAATTTCTAGCTCATTCGCAGAAACAAGTCCTCTGTCCTCTGTCACATTGTTGTAATATTGGGCCCAGAAATTGTGCAAATGAACCTTTGACTAATTACTAACATATTTTACTTTTGATATTCTGTATTAAAGACAAAGTTCAATTGAATAACTGTATACTGGAAAATTTTAGCTGCTGTTTCATTTTCGCCTTTTTCACCCTCCGTAGTGAAGGGGAATTCACCATTATAGCGAATTAAAATCAACAGCATAATCAACACTGTGATTAAAAGTGAAGGGCAATATAAACCATTTGTGAAAAAATAATTTCATGAGCAAGTGAAGGGCAATATAAACCATTTGCGAAAAATAATTTCATGAGCAAGTGAAGGGCAATATAAACCATTTGTGAAAAAATAATTTCATGAGCAAGTGAAGGGCAATATAAACCATTTGCGAAAAATTATTTCATGAGCAAGTGAAGGGCAATATAAACCATTTGTGAAAAAATAATTTCATGAGCAAGTGAAGGGCAATATAAACCATTTGCGAAAAATAATTTCATGAGCAAGTGAAGGGCAATATAAACCATTTGTGAAAAAATAATTTCATGAGCAAGTGAAGGGCAATATAAACCATTTGCGAAAAATTAATTTCATGAGCGAACTGCGAAAGTTTGACAGGGCAAATATTTCCCAGTATACAGCATGTTTAGAGACATTTAGGAAATTTAAGACTGTGATTTATGATAGTAGAAAATGTGTCGCATTGTCATGTTGTGAGTTGAAGATCGTTTTGATTTTGCTGAAGGTGAGGGCTGTGAGATCCAGTTAAAGGCGTTAGTAGATGAAAACTCTGTAGGGAAGTTGAGCAGTGGTGAAGATAAAGTGGAGGACATCCTCGTCCTTCATCTCCATGGAGGCAAAGACTTCTTCATATCCTTTTATCTCGCTGTATAAGTCACTGTGTGTCTTATTGAAGGGAGGACAAATCCATTTGTCTGACTGTGGATGTCACTGTTTGTCTTATTGAAGGAGGACAAATCCATTTGTCTGACTGTGGATGTCACTGTTTGTCTTATTGAAGGAGGACAAATCCATTTGTCTGACTGTGGATGTCACTGTTTGTCTTATTGAAGGAGGACAAATCCATTTGTCTGACTGTGGATGTCACTGTTTGTCTTATTGAANTCTATAGACCCAGAGCTATTTGTCTTATTGCATACATTTGGAGATTTCGTACTTGCCAACTCTCCCAATTTTGAAGGGAGACTCCTGATTTCGGACCATAAAATTGAGCATTTTCAACAAGGGAATTTGCAAAACTATTATACTATTTTCTAAGATCGGATGAATGCATTAAAAGAACAGCTTGAAAGATGCCATTTAAAAGTGGTTTAATTTTTTACCTGGGGGTATGTGCACACATTTTATTTATGCTTTTGATTCTGAACACATGTATTCTCCCCCATGGAAATTTCAAAAAGTTGGCAAGTGTGAGATTTACTGTTCACATATAGAGGCAGAAGTTCTCTAAGTAGATATGGGCCTAAGTACACATTGAGTACAAAGTTCATTTGTCTGACTGTGCTCCAGAAAGAAATGTTATTTTGTCTGATCATAACTATTCATAAAGATCCAATACATTTGGTTGCCTATAAAGGACACTGGCCTTTTATCTGACAACAGGAATAAAATGGTTTTCTAACTTAAACAAAAATTTGAAAAAGTAAATGTAAATTAGTTTTTTTCGTCTTATTGTAAAAAAACGTGATGTTTTGTCAGAGGACAAAGTACATTTTCCTATTGTTAATGATGTAATGTTTCATCTGAGTGTTTTAGAATACTGTTTTTCTGACTAAAGGCCTAGAGATAAAGTTCTTTATTTCATACTATCCTTTGTAAAACTCTCGGTGACCTATTCATTTAATCAGACCATGGGTGACCTCAAAATCTTTTACTGGAGTTAGCTTCCTTAACTCTGCCTACATAACTGTGGGAGGTAGCTACATTCCCAGCTCCTTCGGCTCGTCCATACAGGCTCTTATACAGATGCATGGACCAATCAGGGAGGTGCCTGTCGCTCAACTTATTGAAATCGTAAGTAATGATAGAAATTATCAAAAAAAAAAAAGGAAATTCAATAATTCTATGATTATGTTGTGACATTTAGTTTTTATACCCCAAGCAATGATGCCCGAGAGAATACTTGAATCAACTTGTCTGACTGACTGCTGCATCCTTGAAACTCCAGGGGTAACGCTCATTTACGCTCTCTGCAACCCTAGAATTTGTCATGTCCAAATCAAAATTGCAACTCCACATTCTTGATATATAGAAATTTATTCTATAGATACCCATAGCTAGAATTCAACATCTAATGTTATAAGATTGCATGCCAGGAAACTGAACATACTTTAAATTAAGTGAACTGCAACATGGTTCATGCCATGAAATTTTTTCTCACAGTTCATTTTTAATTTCCTTAATCAAGCCAGGCAAGTAGCCAAATACACATTTGTATGGTAACAGCAAATGATGTTACATGTTTTGAGAGTGACTTTTGAAATCATTTGTGAAGAAAGTTTAATATTTATTCAGACATGTTATAATCATAACTGCCTCTCCATTTTTTAGGTCCTTTCTTCTATAACATTAAGCAAACTGCATGATAAATGGCATTATAATATTTTAAAAGTAGTTATTTTAGCACATTCACACATAATCAAATTTTAATATTGAGCGCAATGATGAATTGGTACGACCACAAAATATGTAATGGAGAACAACATACGTGAACTTCGATTGGTGCATCGATAATTTAGCACAATATTTAAAATGCGAAAAGCACTAAAACAAGACTGCCCCTAAAGGATGTATTTTGACAGTAACTTAATTCAATAAAAGGCACATTCATTGTTAGAAAATTGACATCACAAAAGTATTCGGTGTAGAAGAAGATGAGAAAAAGAAACCTCATTGTGATTGAGCGAACCGAAAACATTATTTCTTGAAAAAGTGGAATAAAAATGTTGGTTACACAATTATCCGCACGGAGATCCAACGCCCTGGTCTGCGGTCTGTCTGGTCTGTTTGGTTCTGATGACGGTTAAGGCCTAGCCTACCGAAACATGTCGACAATAAAACGCCTACCGTAAAGGAATCATTGGTGTAGATGCACCTTCATTTACTTAATTGAATTTATTCTTTCCTGTTCACATTTCAGCTTTGAGATGCAGATGTGATTTTCTGTTGATAGGAACAGCCTGGGAGTTTAGAGAAGCGTGACCTCACAGCTTCGGGTGGACGCCTGTACGCCATACCAAAGGAAATATGGAGACTTGTGGATCATATATGGAAAGTTGGTAAAATGGAGGTTCGTACATATATGAAAATTTGAGGAAAAACAGGAAGATAAATGTTGATGTGGAAATAATATGATTAAAATTTTAAAATATTGATATCAGGTGTGTTTCTTTTGTAGTCACAAAAAATATCATTAAATGTTAATATTGATATTGTTGAAATATTCAACATGATTACTTCGTGTATATATGAAGTAATCCCGTGCTGATTGGCTAAGAATTGTGTCTTGTGGTGCATGTCATTTAAAGTCCCATCAACGACACAGCTTTCTAGTAAGTTATCTAAGGATTGCCTTGTTTGCTATATATATGTTGCTATTGGTAAATGTTGATCTAGTTACATTGTATATTTTGGTTGTTACAGCCTGGACTGTTTGAGAGATCTGGTCTACAGACAGACGTTTGTAAGATTCGGGACTGTCTCGACACGGGAGTTCCCGACACCATACGTATCCTTTAAATAGCTCTGAACCCTTTCTGGGAAAAGTACTGTGACGTTTATAACTACTATTTTAAGCTCAAGTCATTTCAATATGGTAAGCTGGTCCCAAATTCCTACAAAAATTTTACGGTTAATGAATGTGGCAGATTTTTAATCTAGCTTCCAGCTAGAGGGAATTTCATTTTAGCTCAGTGGTAGAGCATCCGACAAAGAACCTAGGGATCACGGGTTCGATCTCCGGTGGAAGCGCACTGCTCTCTTTCCTGTTACAAATGGTGTCTGTTGCCCTCCCAGGGACAGGGAGCTAGAACCTGGGTTGTGGTGTTCGAGGGCGAACATATTTAAAAAAGGGGAGTAGTGTGGCAGATTTTAATTGTGCATAGGATTACGGTCGCTTTCTAGCTTCGAGCTAGATGGAGTTTTCCTTTAGCTAAGTGGTAAAGTGTCTGACTAGGGAGTATGGAATCACGGGTTCGATCCCCGGTGGAAGCACACTATTCTCTTTCCTGTTACATAAATTAATATATGAATGACCTTGACCTTGATAACAGCGGGCAGTATCCACTCAATAGCTGCTACTTTGTTGCTGTTCCTCAAGTGCCTCCCAGAGTCTGTGATCCCTTGTAGCGTGTACCATCGCTGTGTGGAGTGTTCACGCAACTACATGTTATGTAAACAGGTCAGTATAGACAGAACTTTCTTTTATACAGGTGTCCTCAATTAACAGGTGTCCATAAGTATACAGGTATTTTGATATGTAGATCTAGCAACCTCTGTTCCTTAACCAATAAGAGAGCTAGATCTACACTGAACTATACTAAGTAACCTATTAGGTACATTGTGTATACATCACCTATTGATAGGCGAAACGTCCCGTAGTTATGAACGAGAAAATAAAGTTAACCATTTTGTCACTTCATTGTACAGGTAAACAATATACAAATTACTGTCTTAACCCTTTCACCACTGTAGACCATAATGGACTCATCCCAATAAATGCATGGAAGAGTCCACTAAAGTTACCTAGGGGTGAAAGGGTTAGTCATAGCTTGGCAAAGGGACCAGTTGGTATTGAAACATTACAACACCTATGATGCGTACATCGTTTGTGTATGAGGTAAAACTTTGATACATACATATCTCCAAGCTGATGATCTTATTAATAATAATAATACGAGGTTCTTATATACCGCTTTATCACAACCTAGTTCGTAGGTCGTCTCAAAGCAGTTCACAAATTATTATCCGTGGTTATAGGGCCTTTGCACCCAGCCAATATCTTTCTCAACTGCTTGGGGAGCATACAGCTGGTGCTGCCATTTCGGCGCTCACAGCTAGCATTCTACACATACCCATTTACAGCTGAGTAGACTTGAGCAAGCAGAGTAAAGTATCTTGCTCAAAGATACAACGCAGTGCCCTGACGAGAGTCACTCTCGCAACCCTTAGGTCACGAGCCCCGCGTCCTACTACTAGACTACCGTGCCTCCTTAAAGGTGTTTCTAGATATTTTATAAAAACAGGTCAAAAAAGAGAGACCAATTTCTTGTTCCAATAAAGTAATGAAAATTTCATATTTTGTCAATCATTAGGAAGAGCTTTGGAGAGGCTAAAAGCTGAATACTGTTTTGAAGTTTTTTCACTGTTTACACTTGATTGTTCGACATGATTTCAGCCATTCGGAAGAAAAATGGTTTGAACACATGGTTGAGCATGAGGATTGTTTTTTGAATATGGGCCCTATTTTTTGCCTCGCAGCAACAAAGTAGCAGAAGTAAGATTAAGGTGTTGCTTTTCCGGCGACGTCAACATTAAGTATTTTCCGTTTGAGTTAGTTTCACTTAAAGTATCAGTGCTAGACCAACCAAACTTGGACCATAGATGCATCTTAGGTAGTTCATCACAACCCATGCATTTGTTAGTTTCTTAAAAACTTCAAGTGCTAGACCAACTCTGGTACTCTGGTTTTCTTTCACCACCAAAACCTGACACGTCCTTAAATGACCATAGCTGCTAATAGGATGTTAAACACAAACAAACCAAATGTCCATGCTAGACATTTTATTTTTAATACAGTATTGATTATAGAATGTATGGCCTTTATATACAGGTATTCATTATAGACAAGTGTTGTCATATACAGGTAATAGAAAGAGATGTTATTATAGGCAAGCAGCATTGGTATATGTCTTACTTTAATGGCCTGTAGTATATATAGTAAGGGAAATAAGTCTGGTTGGAGTATTAAGTGTTCTGTTGACAGACACAACTGGGATGTAAGGGGGATAACTCTCGTAGCACCACAGACCCTGCAATTTGAAACTGACATTCTACTACTTGTTCAATAAAAGGAAAATAATGTGTTCTAGCTAGCTGTGTTTGTTATTATATCCTAAACGCATGGCAGTGAGGTCCTCAAAATTAACTGACATAGGATTTACCTAGGATTATGTACTTTCATGTAACCTGGATTTACCTCAAAATTAAAAAAAAATAAAAAAATATCTGTTTGATATGATGGAGACAATCAAAATGGTACATCGATCACTTTCCAAGGTTGGGTGACATACCATATGGTTTGTATATTTCATATTAAAGCTTAAGATCCAAATAGCTAAAAATTAAAAGTTGAAAGAGTAATTGACAGGGATAAACGATCAGGCCAACATTAAGACTGTCTCTGTTGTTATTGACCGACCAACCACTTTGTAGTTTGGGTCGGTAGATATTGGAATAAATTTTTGATACCTTTCGTTAAAAGTTTATGAAATGACTTCTGATAATTTTTAAGCAAAATGTACACGAATAAGTTTAAAGTTGTTTGCAGACCAGTTAAAACTATGTGTACAGAGCATGATATATCTTCTGCATACTTCTCGCTTCTAATCCAATGTCTGTGACCCTAAACACTCCGATGGAATCTGCAGTATCAATCCAGACTTTAATGGCCTGTTTTAACTAGAGTTGATACTACAACATGTCTGCTCTAGTCTCACAATAATATTTTAACCAATCCTTTCGTCATTTTACTGAAGGAATCTTATGATATTGTTACACATCCGTCTTTGACACCTTCATCCTCTCACAGAATGACTGATGAGCAGACTAATCGATCATGATTGAATTTCAAACTTTTTTTTACAACAATTGCAAAACATGTCCTATCAACTTTTAATAATCCTTTTTGTTGGCCTGAATGTTAGTGAATGGGGGGCTCTTATTGTGGGAGGAAACCTGAGTACCTGAAAAAAACATGTGTTCCAACAGGTGATCCCATACCTTTTCACATCCGATCCAGGAATTGAACCCCGGTCGATCGTCTTAATGAAATGTGAGTGCGCTATGCATTGCGCCACCGGACCATGATCAGGATGTGGGCATGACTGCCGCAATCTGTCACTACCAAACTACAGTGTATTAAATTCCTATATAAAAATCACATTGTGTGCATGTGGTGATTACAGTTATCAATTCAATTGCATTTTCAGAGGTTACTGTACTTCTTAACTTACGAAAATGAAACAGGCTTTATATATTATTATGTATCTATGTTTGGATAATTAGAAAAATTACATACTTTTTAAACCAATGAAAATATTAACTTTTCAGCATGTTTGAATCCAGATAATTTTATTTTCTTAAGACCAATATCATTATTATTTTTTCAGGTTCACCTTGGTCAATATTACTTTTTCAGGTTCATATCACATCATGTTCACCACCACAGAAATCCATAATTGTAATTATCTGGCATAAAAACTTGTTTTGTTGAATTCTCAGAAGGTCTAGCTCAAAGCCTATATAGACTTCTCTTCGGGACATGTTCTCAGTGTAATGTGACTAGGTGGAATAAATTAAACCCCAAAAAGCTGAAAGGTTTTTAATAAGAGGGTAGTTACGTGTGGTTTTCTGCCATGTAGCGTAGTGGATAGCACACTCGCCTGCCACCAAGTCAGCCAGGGTTTGATCAGACTTGAAAAGATATTGGGTCACTTATACCTGACTACAGGGGTTTTCTCCAGGTACTCCGGTTTCCTCTCCATCTTTAAGACCCAATGCACACTTGTTTCCTAATTTTTGTTAAATGGATAAAGTTTCTATTTGAATCAATTTATATCATGACTTCTTTGTGATACGTTGAATGTGCCTATGTCATATTTTGGATGATATTTAGCACATTGGACATGACGTCCCATGTAACAACAATGAATATGACATCAAGATGGCAATGTAGAAGACCAAGCAAAGGGTGGGATTTTTTTATTTTTTTTTAAATATTTGAATTTTTTGATGTGATTAAATGAATCTAACATTTCAAAATTTAAAACTATATGCAAGCTCACACAAATTTAAAAAAAAAAACAAAAAAAAATTGAAGAAAAAGTGAAAAATTGTGTTGGAAGAATTCATTCTGAATTGATGTAATTATTAATTGAATTCAGAATTCAGATTAAATCATCAGTACATCTGAAAATACGACTGATTTCGTTCGAATCCCTAGTTTTATTGGGAAGTTGATATTAAGGTTCTATGGCAGTATATTGATCTAAAGTTAAACTTGGATACCACATATATCCTATTTATCTTAACATTTTTCCGTGTGCTGATTGATTTAGACGTTACGTCAGCTTTGGCTCACATTTAGTCCACTTCCACATTTTGAGACGTAAAACTTTCATCCCGTCAAAGTTTTGACCTCTGACCTTTTAAACCAAATTTGCACAGTGTTGAATTAACCCACAAATACTTTCCAGTACTGCTAACTATTTTTAAAAACATTGATCTTCTTTCCTTTGGCATTCATTGTCAATATGAATGCCAACTGAAAATGACAAATTCCATGAAGCGTGCCAGCACATCATGCTGTATTTGTATTTATTTTCAGTTGGTGTTTATTGGTTCTTTGATTTTAATTTTCAGTCCTGTGTAGATTTTGTCATCTTGATAAACAGGAAAATGGTTCAAATATTATTTCGTTGAAAATACACTGTATTCCGGGGAAATTTTCACCAAGTCAAGCTTGCGCCATTCGCCTATGAAATCAAGTTTTGCTTGTGTTAATTTTGCAATTCACATGTACATATAATAACTATTTTCATTATACTGTTGTCTCGTATTCGCTGTATCGAAAATTTCTCCTTCATCACGGCGGACAAAAAAGGCAAAAATTAAACTGTAGCGAAAATATCTCGAAAATTGTTTTACAGATAGCACTCCTTCTGTAGAAGAAGATTGATTTGACCTTCAGACCGGAACAAGTACTTTTATATCGAAGTTTATTTTCAGAAAGATTAATTATTATTTGATTAAGAACTCATTCCCGGAGCACAGTGAAGTGAAAAAATATTGCTCATGTAATTATTAAGTGAACTTTTAACCTGATGAATAGTCTGGGAAGATTGGCAGTGAAGGATGACGAATGAGAACTGGGCACAAACCCTATCCCTGCATTTCCCCGTCGTCTTGTGTATATTTGATTCTTGTAACAGCTAAATTGTGGCTGAATGATTTATGAGAAAGATATCACCGTGTGTATTGATCATAAAAAAACACATTTCGAAAAAAACAGAGCTATTACTGAAAACACTACATAAAAAAGAAGATGATGAAAAACCCATTTTCCTTGCTCGTGGAAAAATTGAAGCCCACTCAAGTGCAAGTACCTAAGATATATGAGATTTTTTATTTTTTGGTATTAAGCATTTTCTGACTATAATATAGAGCAGTATATAAGCATTTGGAATCAATAAGATACCCAAGCGCCAGGAAAAAATATAGAAATTGACTCATATCCTTCATGTATCACAGGGTCTGTCTGTATGTCAATGTAATATCACCATTAACATAGATTCTCTACTGACATCTATTGTAACATCATAATTAAGTAACTGGAGATTACGTATTAAATTGGAAAAGAAAGACAAAAACAGTGCTAGGTATTCTTTTTCTCTCTTTACTCTGTGACAGAAATCATTGTCTTATTTCGCAAAATTATCGTCTGATTTCATCAACTCACTGAATTATGTTAAATTGTTGTCAATCGCAACAAACTCAGGATAAGTTGAATCTTATTTATTCCCAATAAATAAGATTCAACTTACCCTGAGCTTGTTGCGATTGACTCCTACGCTTATTTTCCTATTCTTCAATCGCCCTGCATACTGGTTGGTATCCAGGCAAGGGATAACGGAACCTACCGAATCTAAACTACAATAATCGAAGTTAAATTGTTGTATCAAATGATACAATGTAATAGTGTTAAGATAAGTAATCATCTTTACCAGTGAGCAGCTTAATAGAGTTATACAGTAATTATAGATTATCACACTGTGTTTTCATGGCTGTTGTCGTGAGAACAATTTTCTCATCGTGAACACGTGAATGAAATAGAGAAGCCACTGCAGGTGGAGTTGAGATTTTTATCCTCATGCAAGCGATGAGAAAATTGTTTGAGCGACAAACCAGGAAAATATTGTGTGATAAACAACTGTTCATCAGATCTATATACTACTACCTAATATGTTTCTCCATTCATAAAAAGTCTATTAAACTCTGTATTTTACAAACAACTTCTAGCTATAGGCTCAATAATTAATCCTCAGTAAAAAAAAAAAAAAGGAGATTGGCATTGAGGAATACCATGAATCTTGAAAATATATACCAGTAGATTTTTTTTTTTAAAACAAGCTTATTGTCATTGGCTTTTCCAAATGCATAATTACGCTAAAAATATTGTTGCTGTACTCATAATTTTTTTTCGTAATTTTATATTTATTTGTTTATGACGCAATATTTTCTTAAGCAGATCTCTTTTATGTAGATACTATTTCCAGTCCAGCACGTCACCTGGCACAAGCAGACGTTCTTTTTTAAGAAAATACATTCCCAAATGAGAAAATCTATCATCAAGTTCTTCTCAAGTCGTTTTCAATTTCTGCTTGAGTATTCTCATACTGACAAACCATGATAATGAATTAATCATGCTGCTGGTAGGTGGTATAAAGTAGTATATAAATGATAAACCATGTTATAAACACCACCTGTCAATCAACACCACCTGTCTATTAAATATTAGACCACCAGTCTTAAAAGAACACCTCTCTACAAATACTACCTCTCTCCAAACACATAGAAATTCTAAACCCAACATTTCTATGAGCACTACCTGTTTACAAACACCACCCGACTTTAACAAATGGCAACAGCTATCTTACAGAAAACACCTGTTTATAAGCATCACCTTTCTATAAAGACCACCTGTCTCCAATCGCCACTTTACCATAAGCACCACCTTTTTACAACAGCCTGTGTTCCTTTATAACTACCATCTCAGGGTCAAATAGTGTTTTCTATAAAACAGTCTGTCTATGAAGACCACCTGTCTATAAAGACCACCTGTGTGTAAAGACCACATGTTTATAAAGACCACATGTCTATAAATTCCACCTGTCTATAAAGACCACCTGTCTGAAGTCCACCTGTCTACAAAGTCCACCTGTCTATGAATACCACCTGTCTATAAAGACCACCTGTCTATAAAGTCCACCTGTCTATAAAACAGTATGTCTATGAAGTCCACATGTCTATAAAGTCCACCTGTCTATGATGATCACCTGTCTATAAAGACCACCTGTCTATAAAACAGTGTATATGAAGACCACCTGTCTATAAACAGTCTGTCTATGAAGACCGCCTGTCTATAAAGACCACCTGTGTGTAAAGACCACATGTTTATAAAGACCACATGTCTATAAATTCCACCTGCCTATAAAGACCACCTGTCTATAAAGTCCACCTGTCTGAAGTCCACCTGTCTACAAAGTCGCCCTGTCTATGAATACCGCCTGTCTATAAAGACCACATGTCTATAAAGTCCACCTGTCTATAAAACAGTCTGTCTATGAAGTCCACCTGTATATAACGACCACCTGTCTATGAAGTCCACCTGTCTATAAAGTCCACCTGTCTATGAAGATCACCTGTCTATAAAGACCACCTGTCTATAAAACAGTGTATATGAAGACCACCTGTCTATAAAACAGTCTGTCTTTACAGACTTCCTGTCTATAAAGGCCAACTGTCTGTACAGACCACCTGTCTATAAAGACTACCTGTCTATAAAGACCACCTGCCACATTAACCCAGCATTGGTAACATATGCAAAGAAATTCTGAATGCTTTTGTGAAAATTTGCTTGTAAGATTATGATATTTATTCAGCGATAAGCCAATGCCTGGAAATAAGCCCATCCTTATCCGTTGCATTTCAATACATTTCAGTAAAATACATTTCAGTAGAAATGCCAACAAATGCTATTTCATTGTCCTGTTATAAAGCCTCTCCCCTTACTTTGAGCCAGTAATTATGTGTTGGCCCCGTGGGCTTACAGCAGGATAAATATGTATACACATTTAATTTGGTATAAATTTGTTGATATTCTGCATGTTTTATTGAGTTTCTCCCAGTAGCCTTTGTTCCTAGGAGTGTTCGAGTCGGAGAGACAGCTAACACCTGGCGGTGTTTGTGATGCCATTCGTCTCCGGCCCTTAAAGACCACCCGTCCCTGCCGATTACGGTTAGGGTTTATCATATCGTATGTGACAAAATGTCTCTATCTTGTTTCCTATGTTGTAGGTGATAGCGCAAATCCCAGAGTGCCACAGAAACGTGTTCCGGTATTTATGTGCGTTTCTCCGAGAACTTCTCTCCCACACCAGCCATAACAACTTAGACGTGAAGCTGCTAGGTTCGTATGATTTATTCGGCACCGTCACGTAGATTTTGCTTTCATTTTATTGTCGGAAAAAAAGTGACATAATTTGAACAAGGTAACCATCAAGAGAAACTGGGCTACACTGAACAGAATTCCGTCGAGGATTGAAATCATACCAGGAAATTCCAATTTTTGTATTTAGATTTATTTATTGCGCTGTGTATAGTGTATATATTAACAGATTTGGAATGAAAAAATATTATGACACTGGGAAGTCTGTGAAAGGAAACAATAGATTTTGAAAAGAATTGCCAAGTGAAAATCCCTGGATGGAACCGAAGAGAGCTAGGCTATTGTAAACCTAGAGAACAAATACATTATCATGTTGTTACTGACACTTCAGGCTTAAGTGTTCTGTGGTATCCGATATCTCCTGTCAGAAATTCTCATTTTTAAGAGAAATTTCCTTATTTGGTTTAAAATACTTATTTTTGGGGTGATTTAAAGTATTTTAGCGATGAAAAATACTAACTTTTTTGTTGACAAGATTCTATTTAACTTGATACATGTATATTCTTATAAACTTTTTCATCTTTTTTGTGTCGCCTGCAACGCGAGCCGACAAATATAGGCATTACTTTGTACCTCGAAATCTTGTCCAGTATATACTAGACAACAGGGAAGGGAGTACCCAAAACCTTGTGCAGTATATATACTAGACAACAGGGAAGGGAGTACCCAAAACCTTGTCCAGTATATACTAGACAACAGGGAAGGGAGTACCCAAAACCTTGTCCAGTATATATTATACAAAATTTACCAGTCTCCCTTGAAACTCCCTCATTCAAGTCCAAACTCACACAAACTCTAAATCTACACCCTGTGGTCAAATGATCTCCAGTATTTACTGCAGGGTGTGTGTAATAATCGCAACAGGTGTGTCTGAATCAAATGAATTCTTTTTGGAGTTATTTTGATACATAACAAGGGAAAGACAAATTGAGCAAAGCAGTTTCAGTCGCGTTTCACACACTTTCCCCCTCATTGGAAAATTAATGTGGAATGAGGGAGATCTCCCTCATTGGAGGTTTCAGAGGTTGACACCTACGTATTAAAGATCCGTCAGCAGGCCAAATCAAACTGCGTCATCTCTGATTTTGGCCGATTTAGTCTTTTTAACTTTTCTAACACACTTGTATGTAAATTCTGCCAAAGTTTGTCTGTTTGTGTTGTTATTTGGACTGTGAAAATCCAGAGAAAAGAAGGATTTAAGATAGAGAGTCCAAAAGAGGAAGCAAATGAAATACTGTGTAAATTTATAAGGACAAGACATTTAACACCTCCAAGTAGAATGCTGAGTTCAGCAAGAAAACATAATTTTTCATGCTGGGATGAATACAAATCTACACCAAATATCTGTTAAAATGATTCTTTAGATAGTTACAAATTTTATAGACACGCCAGCAGTTTTTAGCTGTGGTGTCTACAACCTGGTTGCATTTCTCTCGGACAAGTCTTGGCTGACTCGCCATGTGGTGTTGCGGTTTGTTAGAGAGACATTGCAGAGCTGTGTATAAGGCTGCTGTGTAAGGCCCTGACAGCACCCGCCATGACAGGAAAGGTAGTCGGTAAATAGTTGGGGGGCTGACAGCCATCAACTTACCCGCAATTAATATTGGCATACATCTCTTTTAGTTAACATAATCATAGGCAGCAGTAGGCAGGGTATAAGTAGCTGTCAGCTTTGTTTATATACTTGTTATTTCCGTGTCGGTTGTTGTGGCTATTTCAAATTGATCGCCTCGTAGGGTCGCAGCGGGAGGCTGCATTCGACCCGTTTCTTTCGTACAGATATGAAATAGATGTGCTGTCAATTGAGGTCTGTTTTGTTTCTCGGACATTGTCTGCGGCCGGACAATGGTCCATCAAAAAACCGTCATCAGACAGAGCCGTCTTAGCTTTTGTGTCTTTAAACACCCTTAACTATGTAAGGCTTATGTCTGCAATAGTTGTACTTTGTGACACTGTTATATAATTTAATCTTGCTGGTAACAAGCATTTTGATTGGCTTAAAAAATTATGTTATCAGCCCATAACGTAAAAAATGACGTCACCGTTTGTAACGCCGCTTTTGATTGGCTGATACAGCGGCGTAACAATTTCTAAGAGAAGAGAGGCCATCAATAAGAGTGCATTTCCACAGGGATTGTGTAAAGTAGATTAAATTATAAGGATTAACTTGAATATATTTTTTATGTTATGGAGCTATAACACAAAAAAACGGAGTGTACTGACTCATCATAAAACGCTTCGCGGTTTAATTAGAGTACACTCCGTTTTTTTGTGTTATATCTCCATAACATAAAAAAAATATTCAAGTTAATCCTTAAATACTTTTGGTCTATTAAGAGAGTGACCTTAATGTTACAGTTATGGACACATAGTGTGTAATTACATAAAAATGTGAAAAAAAAGTTGAAAAGGCATTGAACAAAATAGCTATTACTAGATTTAACACAATTTGATAAATGAGATTTGTGTTCTAGTGCTAAAATTCATCTAGAGCTAGATCATTAATATATAGCTATTAAATGGTATCTGATCATGTTTAGATATTTCATGCATTTTTTTTTTCTTCACCCCTATATGTTATTAGCCTGAAATAAGGGCACTAATAACCAACCCACATACACACGGTGTCATATTCTTTGTTTGATCATGAACAAATACACTTCAAAAATATTCTCAGCTCTGTTTTAATCATTACAGAAACCTTGACAATATAAACACCTCTAAAACACTCATCAAAATGTCAGCATGTAAATCACTTCTGTATTTTGTACTGTAGTTGTTTGACAGAATCGTGTATTCATGCAGCCTCTATATCTGATATTGTGTTAAGGCACAGACTTGTCACAATCCTTGCACCTTGGCTTGTTTGCGGTTTTAATCTCAACATGAAGAACATGAACTCTTAATTCTGACTCGGAAAATAGAAAATAATTAAACTAAAGATATTTATTTTTGCTTAGGCAATACATACGTAGGAAAAACAGATATGGAGTTTAAGTAACAAAACAACAGTTTAGATTAACTATCAATATTTTATTGTTACTAATGAGAACGACATAAATTGAGGGCAAATTTCACCAACTAATTACACGATTTTCTCGCAATAGACATTGATTTGTTACAGCCCCGAGGTATTGACTTTGATGATGTTCGATGCTTGTTTGACTGACTTTTGATATGCACAGTCGTGAATAAAAGGTGAAGTTTTGTTGATTAGGAAGTAATGAAGTGTTGTGTGTTTTTGCTCCCCGTCATAATAACGACGAGAGCTGCCATGCGGGGCTGTCGGTCAGAATTTCCATACGATCTCACTTAATCCCGCTGATCAATCGGGTTAGCCATCAACAGGCCTCCTGCTGCTGACCATACTACCAGGAATGGCCAGCGGTCATTTTAGCGGTCACTCCAACGGTCACTCCTGTCAAAGTCCCTACGGCTCAGTGGAGATCAATAAGTTAACACACGAAGTGTCATGCTGGCTGTGTTTTGCCTTCTATCATCTTTCTAGATTTTTTTGAAGACCTATTTCACTGAGAAAATTCATTAACCTTACTTTTGAAGTACAATACATATATTTACATTTATGGTAAGCAACTAACTTATAAATTTTGAAAGTATTAACTCCTTCACCCCTTAAATTATATAATGAACTATTCCAACCTTTAAATTGGAAGAGTTAAAATGTTTGTCAGGGGTGAATAGGTTGATAGATGTCTGTTTTAGAGGACTTGATGATCCCTAGTGGTGGACGATTCAGTAATTTTCTGAATTCATTTTTTTGTGGAAAATAATATTTCAGGCAATTTAAGTAAAAATATTATTTAAATGTTTTTAAATCAGAGTGGTACTAGATGTCTATAGTTCTTCACTAATCATTCTCTCTCTGTGCATACTTTCAATATTGTCATTATAAGTGATGAGGAAAATGGTGTTTTGAAAAAATTTAAATTCGGTAAAAAAATTACAGTGCCTGTCTGTTCACCCACCCAACGCAAATATGTATAAATTGGTTAATTCACAAAAGACGACGCTACAATTTTCACTAAAACATTTTGACTGTATTAGATCTTACGGTGCAGAATGAAAGTACAGTAGTAGTAGTATGTGAAGTTGCGGATCATCAATCTATTGATGACATCATGATTATTAAAGGGGCGTAATTACTTAGAAATAAGTGCAATGTACTAAGCATTGGTACTTAAAACAGACATTAAAATCTGTATAATTTCCCTCGATTTCGCTCGCTTTGAACTGGCTTGGTTTTCGTAGAGAGTGCGTATAAAGAGATTTGATTAAGTCTTTGTTGCATTCAGCAATTTTGCCGGCTTTTTGATGAATTTCAATACCACTCACGGGAGATTTGTTCCTAATACAGCGTAACAAGTTGATGGAGATTTTAAGTTCGTCCATGCAGTGTAAAACACAGTAACACTTCAGATAAAAAAATAAGTAAATCATCTTTTTGAATTTTCAATTCAAACTGGATTTGACTTTACACAGATTCCTGTGTTGTTTGTTCATGTGTTCTGTGTCTTTGTTCCTTGCTTGGCACTAACTGTCAAAGTTTTTTGTTCTTGAAGAAAACGCCCCCTGGTGAATAGAATCTGCTGACTTTCTTTCGTTGTTACATGTAATGGCAGGTCTAAAATTCAGCACACTATTCTCATGAAAAATATTTCTTTTATTTTTTTACTTAACCATTTTGCAACAGTTTAGATGTATATTTAGAAATATTTAATAAGCGGAAGTAAACTTGTAGTTTCATATTTGTAGATGTGTGAGAAATGTGTTTAGTCAAAGATGCTTTGTTATTAATGGGCGATAAATTTCTGTTCCTCAGTTTTATGATTTCGTCCATGGTGTAACTCGGACAAATCTAGATTTCAACAGATGTGTTAAGAATGTCTAATGCCTAATGTCTAATGCCTATAAAGATTTTGTTATCATTAATTGTCAGCTAG